TATTTGTAGTTTTATAACGCATTTTTTCGTGATCTATGCTGTTAAGTTTTCTGGTTTCCAATCCATTTCTGGTTTCCAATCCAAAACTAATTGGTAATGAGTGGATTGATCCAAATCTCTTATATATTAGTCAAGGTCCTTCTCAACTTTGGATGTATGACATATCTTATACATATTCTCTAAAGATTAAGGCTTCCTGGTCCATTAACTTTTACATTATCTAATACTCCTCCTCGAGATAATGGCTCTTCTAGTCATTAATCTCGCAGATCATTAATTTTGGGTCGAGGAACAAAGCCACTTTTTAGACTGGAAATAAACCATAATCAGACCATTTTTGGATCAGGGTTACGAGAGTGTGCGGATCGGGCTCTGATACCATGTTAAATTGAGCTTCCAACCCAAAACAAATTGGTAATAAGTGGATTGACCCAAATCTCTTATATATTAATCAAGATATCTCCCAAGTTTCGATGTGGGACATATTTTACACACACTCTGTAGAGATTAAGATTTCATGGTCCATTAACCTCTATATTATCTAATATATATATATGCCGATTGCCAAATTTCACATTCAGAATTTGTATTTGAGATATGTTCAAAAAAAATAATTTGTATTTGAGATGCATGTTTTGACCAAAAGCAATGTTTTCCTCTCTCATGCTACCAGTCCCGATGCTAGTAAATCTCTTCTCTTTCCGATATTGTTCGTTGTTATAAGTATATAATGGATTAAAAAACATCCCGACCCCGACTCAATCATATGATGTTTTGATACCTTTTTCCGACTAAAATGTGTTATCGGTTGAGCTAATAGTATGTGATATATTTAAACGTAACTTATGTTGGAACCGTGCTACTTTTATCCGAAACACCAGCAAACAGTTTAGCAAGAAGGACATACTAATTTAAGATCTATAAGTCAGTTTTTGTTGCTGGTGATTGTGTCTTGATGGCTGTATATTATTCATGGTGGCTACTGGCTGGTGCAACAACATACGTACTCCATGAAGTATGACTTACGTCAGAAAATACATTTATTGCATGAGTGATTTAATCAACTGAGGTTATTCATAATTACTGTTTTTTCCGTCCACAATTAGTTAAGGACTTGACGTTTATAGTTTATGTTTTCACTTCCATACAGTCCATCATCATCCTTAAACGTGGATAGCACGTGACAATCCCGCGTGTTGATCCAACCAAATCTGAAGCTCGTCTCAGTTCAGTATATTACTAGCTTTCTCACCGTTTTTATCAAGTAAGTTCCAGAGAAGCTCCAAAGTTTTTTTTTTTTTTTTAAACTACAAAATATTATTTGATGAAGTATTAACAGAAGTTCGAGATTTGATGTATTCAAAGCTTACTAACGAATTGAGTCGGATAATGGATAATTATGTCGACCCCAAAACACACACCAAAATATAATAATAAAAGCTTAAGCCACATGGACGGCGTTTTGTGCTTGGAAAAGAGTGAAGTTTAAAAACAGAGCATTGAATTGAACAGCCGAGATGTTAGAATGCTCCTCAAGTAAGCATTAAGCAAGTCGTGATGCTACGAATCTATTTCGTTCACGAAGCAGACTTTGACTAAATGGTTCACATTTCCAATTGAAAAGTGTCAGGTCGTTAGGCCAGAAATTAATTTCGGTGTTCGATATTAGTGTATTAAGGTCAGAAAATACATACTAGTTCGGAGAAATTTGATTTATATAAATGTCATGAAGTGAACCACATAGGCACATATGTGTTAACGGACTCAGGTTCTTACAAAAAATGGTTTTGCTCTGCTAAAATTTATTTATATGTTTTTATTAAGTTGCACTATTATATAATGTAATAGTATCTATATATATATAATAGTATATTTAAATAAATTTTTCATTTTCTGAGAAATTTTGAATAATAATTTTCATTGAAATAGAAAGCATAAAACAAAAGAATAAAAAATAAAAAATAAATATTTCACGACAAATGTGTTCGTCTCTACTGATATATATTAGATTAGGACCCGCATATATGTAGGTTTATAATAGCAAAATTTTTAATTCGTTAAAATAATTTGAAAAATAGAAACTAAAATCAGATCATTGATAAAAATTATATTAAAAACATAAAATATAAATCTAAGTGATTTTTATTTTAATTCTCGTTTGTTTTCAATTAAAATATGTAAAACACATAGTTTGTTAGGTGCTTTTAACAATATTAACCTTATTTCACTTATAATTTAACACTTTACTAATTATTTTTTTCCTGTTTTGCTGCATTAAAAATTTGGATATGCAATTCAAGTCATTCGATTATGTTAACTCTCTTTTCATTAACTCTTTCCAAGTAAATAAAGTTTCTCTTTCTCCCCACACGCATCTGTTTTATATGATTTCTTTTCTTTCTAGAGAAGATATGTTTCTGAAGATTAATGTCAAAAGCTTTTTTATATGATTTTTGTTGATCCTCCTCCTCATTGAACTCATTATTAGCATCTAGGATTTTATTTTCATGTAATCTTGCTTTGCAAATTTTTCATGTAATTATTTTGGAATTGTCCATTTATTGAATATTGGAAACGCTTTATATGTATATAATATTCACCAAACAAATCTTAAAGGAAAAACATTTAGAATACCAAACGAATCATAATTGATAAAAAATTATCATACCGCATAAAGTTTTTAATAATAATATTACAATAAAATATAAAAAATTATACTTATATAATGAAGCTCAAAAAGTATTATTTTGTTTGGTAAAAAATTATGAGAGATTTTATGTGTTTATATAGATGTGGATTGTATTTTTATTTTTCTTTTAAGATTGGTGTTTTAGCTTACTTTTCTTTTCCAAATTGAAATATTTTCTTTTTTGTGTGTTTATATAGATGTGGATTGTATTTTTTTTTTTAAGACTAGTGTTTTAGCTTGTTTTTCTATTTCAATTTGGAAGATCTCCTTTTATTAACTTTTTTTTCAAATTGTATTTTCCTGTATAAAATATTTTAATAATAATAATACTTATAGAATAAAACTCAAAAAGTATTATTTTGTTTGGTGAAAAATTGTGAGAGATTTTATGTGTTTATATAGATCTGAATTGTATTTTTTTTTAAGATTAATATTTTTTTTTTCTTTTCCAAATTGAACTATCTTTTTTATTAACTTTTTTCAAATTATATTTTATTTTTTTTTAAGATTATTGTTTTAAGTTATTTTTCTTTTTTAAACTGAAATATATTCTTTTATTTATTTTTTTTTTTTTTAATTTAATCGCGACACATGTTAAAATATGATCGATTGACTCGCCACGTGTCGCAATTTTGACATGATGCATCCAACTTTATATAATAAAATATAAATTACACTGTTTGTATAACATAAGATAAGATTAATATGTAAATAATTTCTTGATTTTGTGAACAAATTTTCAAACAACATTTATATCATTAAAATGGAAAAGGTAAAACAAAATAAGAATAAATAGATATCTCATGACAATAACCAAAATTAAAAAAAATATATCTATACAATTTAGTCTTTAATCCCCAAAAAAGACAACAGTCTCACTCCCAACTTTCAAAACCATATCTGATTTGCTATGAACTACCATGCATCAACGAGACAATTTATTGTTTTAGATCTTTTCAACTAAAAGAAAAGGCAGAACAATATTTTGGACAGTGACAATTGAAAGTTCATCTTTTAAACAAAAAGGTAACCAATGAGTTTTGGTCCTTACTCACACAGACAATGGTCGGCACAAACCGTCCCCGCATAGAGACAGCTATTTTGTTTGCAACAATCTGCTTTTTCTTCATTAATGGTTTTTGTTTTGGAGGGTCCATCGGATATATATATATATGATCATTTTGCAATGTGATTTGAACAAAAAAATATCAGTGCCTTTGGCAATAATCCACGACTTGATGGCCTAGACATGAATTTGTTATGATTTTGGTGAATTTGATGCACTAGTAAAACGTAAACGACCAAAGCAAGAATTGGAACAAGTCGCTATTTTTATTTTTATTTTTGTGCAAAAAGTCGCTATTTTTAAAAAAAAATTATTTACTATGATATGAATAAGTAATTTTTTGTTAACATATGGATAAGTAAGTACAACCTTCAAACAATCTTTTTATAAGCTTCAAAATTCGATTCATATAAACGAATATTATGTTTATATCTACACTACATATCGTATTGCGGAAAGGTAAGAGAAGCCCTCCGCACCATTGTATTGAAAAATGCATCAAGTTTTCAACTTTTTTTTTCCTCCATATTATTTATTTCAAACTAAAGTGTCGATTAAGTTTCAAAATCTGCAGCCGCTTATTGCCAGCGTCCAACCGAAATGAAACCCTCACTTTACCGTATACGGTGATGAATTTGATGTTTTTTGGGTAAACTATTGTTTTAAAATGTTTTATTATCTAAACCAATAAATGTCAATAATCTAAATCATCACTAAATTAGTTTATTTTACCATATGCCACATCTCTTAGTGCTTTCGTTAACACCACCGTTTTATATCATTAACAATTATCGCCTGAAATGTATTGTTAATTTACTTTACGATGTTTGTTCCGACGAGACAACACGACCTATAAGCCACGTAACTGTCACAGTCCACCAATCACACTCATTTTCAAAATCTTTTGTCTTTTGTCTTTTGCGTTTCCATTAGATTTTATCATTTCAGTTTTTCTTATGATACTTCCATTGAACACGAAATACTAAAAAAAAAAAATTATGGCCAAAGATGTTACAAAATCCACCGGGAAAGGTAGTGATGATTACAGTACTAATTTAATTAACAATGTTGTAAATCTTAATTGCAACAGAAACCAGCTGAGCTCACAAAATTTATACTTACACAAGCTACATTTTGGCTTCCACCGCTCCGCCAAAAAAAAAAAAAGAACCTATTTGTTTTCGCAAAAAAAAAATCTGCCTATGCACAATAAACCAACCATAACCGGTTTCGGTTTACTTCATACTAAGCCTGGTTTAACATATCAGCCGCATTCACGAACGTGCCGTGGAAACCATACGGCACTCTTGACGGCAATTTAACGATTGCTTCCAGTTCCAAAGTAACGGCGTTAACAATCTGAAGCTCCGATTTCCAACTCTCCTCGTCGTGAACAAACGACATAATGTAACCGTCATCTTCTCCGTCAGATTCTAGCCCTCTGGGTAAGAAAAAAGGCTCACCTCCATATTTTTTACCGCCGTAAAAATGATTTTTAACTTCTCCAGTGGAGAGATCCACTTTAGCGAATCCAGATACTTTAGGCCACGGTTCGGCTATGGCAAGGTACGCGTACCGGGTTTTCCTCCCTAGAAGATTTCGGTTCACCATACCAGCTTCAAGATTCATCTGAACCGAACCGGGAATTATAGTTCTGCGTGTGGATTTTCCGGTTTTGAGATTCAACCGGATCTCCGACAAAACGCTGTTGAGCTGCTCATCACACTCGTTGAAGATCGAATCCGCAGGAGTCATACAAGATCCGATCACAACAACCTCGTCCGTCTCCGGCGACTCCCAAGCATTCCATAGGTGGAAACAGAAAGTCTCCGGTGACTCTACCCAGATCATCTCCGACGCATCCTCGGCGTTTCTCGGCAAAATTCCAAACCGGGAAACTTTCTCTCCGTCGTATTTAACGGGAGATTTTCCGAGAAACATATCGGAGAGCTTAAACACCACTTGTTGATCCGGAATCACGACGAAATTCTCCGTGATCGCGAAATCGTGCATCATCGTCGGACTCGCGACGGGAATCTCAACGTCCGGCGATTTCTCCCCTTCCGGCGAGAATCTGAAGTATTTCAGGTACGGTTTCTTAACGACGTCGTAGCTTAACGCGAATAGCTCCTTCGTTTCAGGATCGATTTTCGGGTGAGCGATCATGGCGGAATTTAATTGCCCGCCGAAATCGAATCTTCCGACGGTCTCTAGATCGCCATTGTCGGTGACGCGAACTTGGTAAGGCAGATCGTCTTCAGACATCGCTAATAACCGGTCGTGGAAGTAAACCAAACCGGCGTTAGCGACTCCGGTTCCGTTACGGTGATTTAATAAACCGCATAGACCACGTGCGTAAAATAGCATCAACCGTGCTATTCCAGTGTGGCCGTGTAGCTCTCCTATGGCTTTAGGGAAAATCGGAGAACCGAGTTGTTTTTCCTGAACCAATCTCTCGGTTTCCGTAAACCGACACGAGTAGCTCGCGTCTCCGTTAGTGATTTTAACGGCGTGAACCATTCCGTCTCCGTCGAAGAGGTGATGGCCAGAGACTGGCTCGAAGAGAGGGTTAGCACCGTTACGAAGATAAACGCCGTCAATGCAGTCAGGGATTTTCCCGATGACGGAGATAGAGGATTTGACGGATTGCTCCGGTACCGGAGCATAGTTACCGGAGATCTGATGGCGAGGATCGACGGTTTTAGGGAGAGGTTGAGAACGCTCGCGGGACAGCAATGCGGCCTCGGCGAAATCGAGAGCGGCGGAGGCGGCGCGTTGGAGTGGGTTCCAATGGGAAGTGTCCTTTTCGGGAATTATGGGGTTTGGAGGAGGGTAATTTGGGAAATTAAATAAAGCCGGAGAGTCTGTGACGGAGTTTGTTGAGAGTTTACGGCGTCTGGGTTTAGTGTTGGTGAAACTAACGGAGGATGACGGCGAAGGTGCGTCGAGATCGGACGGAGCAAAAGAGAGATTGAGTTTGGTTGCGTTTGGCGATAATACGTAAGAACAAGCCATGAGGGAGAGAGACCGAGTGAAAAAGAGAATTGATAGATTTTGAGAAATGGAGAGAGAGTGCGTTTGAGTATATATAGACTTTCTTTTGAGGTTGGACTGAGAAATCAAATATAATAAGACTGTTTTCTTCACATATATTAAAAAATAAGGGAAGTAATGACGTATAAAAAATTCACATTAATTATTATATTTTCTGATATTTATATTTCTGTGTATAGTATATATATGACTCCAACCCGACATTTTTAACACTAATTAGTTTTCGACTTCTAGTTACAGTTTAAATGGATCAACTATCAAGAGTTTACATACTACTTTTAAGAGTCTGCATGGTAAGTATTAATTAACAAAATTATCCGGAAAAATGTATTCTTCAATTGTTACTTTGACCATGCACATGAGGCTAATTACGACATTATGTCCGTTTCTTTTTTCAAAAAAATACTAATTTTATCCTAATTGCCTGTGAAAAAATATCAATTCGTTTATCTCAAAATAAGATTTGATTGTCTGTACAGTGTACACATTAAAAATACAACGCAATATATGATAACTCGATGCATTTCTGATTTCGCATATACACTACAAGAATTGGGCAACATAGCTACATATTTTTTGTAACTATGTAAACAAAGTGTTGTTAAAAAAACTATCGTTGTTAAAAAAACTATGTAAACAAATTTTTAGTTAATTTCAAGTTGCTACAAATTTGTTTCAGTTTTATTTTAGTAACTATGTGACTGTTTGAAACTTTCACCCGCATGAGAACTGTACACTTAAATTTTAAAATACTGACGATATATATAGATGGACCTGCCTAATGTATACACATTTAGATCCATAACGACCTCTTTAAGAAAAATAAAATAAAAAGTAGGTCCATATATAACAAGTATAGTAACCTACCTTATACGTACGTAAAATGGTCTAAGATCGTCACAAAAAATCGATGGTCTTACTTGAACAAATGCATTGGAATCCATAGCACTCAATCGATAAGTCGCAAATAGTTTGGTGTCATTAATTTAATAGAATGTTGTTCAGTTTCTCTCCTTTTTATTATAGTAATGACTAATGAGTATCCCAAATTTTCATACTCGGTTAGACCGTTCATATTTTGTAGTGATATTTCTGAGATGATACTAAAACTTGGACTTTCTATAGGTAGTTTAGTTAAAATATTTTTGATATGAAGCTCGAACTAATCTCAAAGTCTCTATGCAATATTTTGATATGAAGCTGGAGCTAATCTCAATGTCTCTATACAATATCTAATTAGTTTTGCTGCATGCAACACATCGACGTAACATTTGGTATCATGTATATGCAACAGCAAATCTCCACCGATCTCCGAACTACAAGACGATAAGTTGAGCATTTGGTAACTTTGGTCAAACAAATTATAGCGAAAAACAAAAAAACTACCAATAAATTACTCAAACGGTACGTATCAACCGGACTCGGATGCATCGACTAAGAAATTTACACACAATGAAAAAAGGAAGAAGGGTGGGAAAGTTCTGCAAATTAATTTGTATAATGTATAGGTTGTTTTAAAAAAAATTTGGTCGGTCCACGTGAAATTGTGTTGGGCAGGTGGGCCGTAGAGGAAGAATTAGAAAAAAGACTGGTAATATTGGGTCCACTCGTCTCAATTTCTACGTGACGAATGACGACTAATTCGGTCTTTGGGTTGTTTTGTTCTTTTTCTTTTTGTTTTCCTTCAAAGTTCAAACCGAAAGTCTATTTTTATAATATTTCGGTTGAAATGCAAGAACCATTACACGTTAATTTAACGACCATTACAAATTTTAAAAGTATACTTTCATATTTTACGCATATCGTCAATCAGTTGTGTTTTTATCTAGAATTTAGTGTATATAATGTGTATGTGTACAGTAAAATATACTAGATGACAAAAAAGTCATGATAAAGATGAGTGCATGAATCTGGTGTCGCACTTTCTTAACTTAATTCCCGTTTACATAATATTCTACTGCTATAAACATATCCATTTTATTGTCAGTGATTTATTAAACACCCATCTACATATATATATAAATTTTGAAATGTTAGAATGATTAGTCTATATGAAGACCAATGTAGTATGTGCTTTTGGCGTTTATTTTCACATCGTTTCGGTGAAACTTCTTCTACAGATTTACTTAAGACATAAGTTTTCTATGGGTGGTTGGGTAGTTTCTTGTATATTTGTTTGTATTAGTGATGTCCATATATAATATATGCACCTATTTCGACGTTTATGTTTTTGTGTTTCTTCGGTCATAAATAAAACTAGTTTTGGGATGTAATAAGAATCTGTTCGCACGTTGATGAAACTTATGATAAGAGTTGAGACATGAGGGGTGTGCTGATGAATAGGTTGTGAGATTAATGTTGCTGTCTTATATCAGCACTCTTGTCCTACCTTTCCCTTCTTGCCTACTCCTTGTTTTTCTTTTGTCTATCAAAATTATATTTTACAATTATGGAATTGATAATATGCACTAACTACCTAAATTTTACCATTTTATTTGTTTATAACTAATTTATTGTAATCCAGTAATATTTGTTTATGATTGACAAAATACCAGCTGGAGTATTGTCTATATCTTTTTTTTTTTTTTGTAATCCAGTAACTGAAATATTCGCTCTATTAATTGGGATAGCCGAGTCCTCTAACAACCACTTTAATCATGATTAATCAATACGAAGGCTTTAAATGCAAGAATATCTAATTTTCTGTAATTAGTATGAATTTGTTTCGGAATCTTTATTTATAAAAAAATTTATTCCTTATGATGCATTGATGCCTTATAACTTTTTCTACAGCTCAAGCATCATTGAAATGGATACTTTCTCTATAAATCGTGTATAGTATCATTCAAATGAATGCATGCAAGCGTAAACGGGAACACACGTATATATACAAGATAACACATATGCATATGGACACAAGACTACACTTCTGCATATGGGCATGGAGTAGCCAATCGTGTCCACATGAGTCATCAGTTACTTCTGTGATCTTATCTTACCATGCAGATGCAGACATGGTGTGTCACAATCTGATCATGAAGCTACACGATCTGATCATAAACTGACAGGAGTGCGATATATGCAACTATATGGACGTTGATACTTACATATACATGCATACAAATATGTAGACATGCATGTGTACTGGTGCAAGTAGATGTATATAAAGCTGTCGTCGCAGCACATTTCATTAGGCTTGAGGTTCATGTGTAGGGTCAATTTTTGGGTTGGCAAGAGGTAATTTGTACTTGAATAAAAATCTCGTGAGTTCTTAGTTTGGATAAAAACCTAACTTTATTCAAAATTGGTATAAGTAGGAAGGCTTGTACGATATCTACTTGCTAGTTGCTACATATGTACACATTCATAACCAAGTGGGTTTTTGTATAGGCAATATTTTTCTATTTAAGCTGGTATTTTAATACGGTTCTCAAATCACTACGTAATCCAAAATACAATCTACACGCTCATAATTCGAACTATATATAAAATTCTTTAGTAGATGCTAAATTAACATCTTTTGCTCGTTTTATCTTATATCTTAGAATTTGCTAGACCTTTTTTGAATCAATACGAATCAATTAAATTAATGTTTTACTGAGTAAAATTATAAGATTTGTTTGATGTAAAAGTAATTTGAATTAGTGAGACCAGAAAGAATGAAAAACATGTGGAGGGAAACGCGAGGGAGTGACGAGGTGGGCAGAGAGACTCACGAACTGTACGAAAAAGTTTCGACATCTTTTTTTGGCTGTCGTTTTTGCAAATTTTACAATTAGTAGAAAACAATTTATATTAGAAGAAAATGTGATTGGTAAACTATTGTGGCTATATAAAAAGGGTTGCGCCTACTACTGCTTAATCACTACCTAATTTTTTAAAAAATTGATAATATTATCTTTAACGAAAAATAATGATAATACTAGGTGGTTGCCCGCACATATGTGCGGGTATAACTTTTTTATATACGTAGTTAATTGTAATATTTAAATATTGATTAATTTTTTTAAATATTAGTATGTTTGTATATATATTGTTTTAATATTTCACAAACTTCTTTCTGAAACTAATATATTTTAAAAACTGTATTTTTATAATGCTTGTAATAATATATAATCACAAATATAAAAGTTATGTTAAATAATAATTAAATTTTTATAATATTTTTTGAATATTTCTATAATATGTTTTATTTCTCCTTACACAATCTACAATATGTTTTTTGCGTCTTACATAATATGAATTTGCAAATACATATATAATATATTTTAAGTATATATTTTTCTTGATTTATTGTAAATTAAACTGAAATAGTTTTTACCATTTTTACTTATTCTTAAGAGCGGATATATGGTTCGCATGTGCGGACATACCAACCACTTCACTACATTTAGAATAGATAATTTTAAAAAAATATATAAATTGTATAATAATTAAAATAAAAATTAGTCTGTAATCAATCTTAACAAAATACATGCACGGAAAAGTTCGCATGTGACTTCAACTAATATACAATTAATATTTATGTATGTACGCGTATTTGTAAAAAAAAATTGAAATATGGCTTTTAGGTGTTAAAAAGTTTTTAAGTGACTTTGTAAAACAAAGTGCGAGAGATTTATTTTTATATACTTCCATTTTTATTTTTTATTCATATTGTTTCATCTTATTATAATTTATTTTTTGTTCGGTTATTTTTCATTTTATTTATGTTCTCAAAATTTTGATATACAATGAAAATAAATTTATGTATATATATGATATAAAATTTATTTTTATTTAAAATATGATAAGAGATAAAATGAGATGGTAACATAAGTTATGTACATTTTAGAAAACAACAATAAAAAGATGATAAAAGTTATAGAAAAATATATGGTCCTATTAATATTATAAAATAAAAATTATTATATACTTTATTCATTTAGTAAATATTGGTTTGAAAAGAAAAATTATTTAAAATGACGTTTTTTTAAAAAAAAATCAAAAAAATTTGATTATTTTTTTATTATTTTTAACATTTTATTCTTTAAATTATTTTATTCTTGATTGTATTTTATTTAAAATTATATTTTTTAATAATTTGTTTATTTAAAACTTGTTTAGATGTTATTAATATATTTTGTAAATTAATATTTTCCGAAATAAAAATATATCATACTTCAAGTATTATTAATAAATAGAATTTTTATTATTCTATTGGATAATTTAGTTTTATTTTTCGTTTTATATGAAATTATAATATATATATATATATTGTTGAAAATTTTTCGTAATTATATTTTACGAAATTATGAATATATGTATAAAAATAAAATTATAATAACTTTTATTTTCTGTTAATTTAAATTTGTTAATTTTAGTGTTATAAATATAATTTAGTTTATTTATTTTTTAATTCCATAATTTCTATAATTTTAATTCAACCAATCAAAATATTTTGTTTATTTTAGAAAGTTTGACATGTCACATTTACATGTCATCAATTAAAAGCACTAACTTTGGTTGTAGTGTTGACAAGTCAGCAATTTTCAATAATATGTAGTGGATTGACAATCTATATGGAAAATTTTATGAAATAAATCCATAGAAAAGTATAAAAGAATGATAACAAATGAAAAAAAAAACTGAAAAAAAATCCATTGTACAGCGAGTGAAGAAATTCCAAAACTATTCATATACATATATAGATATAATAAAAGCATGCAAGTTGAGAACACAGCTTGTCCTCTTGATGGGTAAACAACTTGACAGATCAAATCAGTGATCACAGAGGCTTTCAAAATTGCTTTAGTACTGGACACTGCCAATGGCTGATCAATCCAATTTATGTGGACTTGAAAGCAACTTTAAAAAGTTGATTTCAATCAGTAGTTCTATATGACATAATATTAATGTCATTGTCTCTCTTTTCTTTAACTCTCTCCGTTGATGTTATTGTGTGTTTCCTAATGACTTGTGCAGTTGTGCACTTAATTAGATTAAATGTATGATCCTCTATATTTAAGGATGTTTAGTGTTTGACTTATTGTATTGTTAATACAAACCATTAAGGTTTATCCATTGTAAAACTGAGAAGAATTAAAGGTACAAAAATTGACACCACCATTTATTTTTTACTATCTGTATTACAACCCGCATTGCTTTCAAGCCTTTCTCTAAATACATTTTGAATTATTGTTAGTATCTAAGAAGTATCATTCCATTAAACCATTAAATAAGGTTGAGTTTGCAAACGTAATAATGATACTCTTTGCATTGTTTTTTTTTTTTTTGGGGGGGGGGGGGGGGGGGGGGATCAAACTCTTTGCATTGCTTATATGTAAATAGTTAGACATTAATCGTAAGATCTGAACTGTATATCTACAATTAGTGATCGTGTCCATTGGGGTGAAATACCTTGTTCCTGATAAATGGATGAATTCGAAGCCTATTTATTAATTCTCGTGAGCTGTAGAAAATCGGACTTTCTTACCATTAGATATAACGGAAACTCATGCCTTTTCTATCTCTATTTATCTTTAGGGTTTAGTGATTGTATATAGTTAAAAAGTCATAGTTTGAATGAAATTGTATTTATTTGACATCAGTTTGAAATTATATACTATTGATTTGAAAAGAGAACCAAGAAAGAAGAAAAAGGATAGGGCTGACAACTCGTACGAAAAACGAGATACCTCTCATAGACTAAATTGGCTTTCAATGTAAAAGCAGATCTGATTGGCTAAATTGGCTTTCAAGGTAAAAGCAAATCTCATTGGTGTGAAATAGTGACAATCCAACAAGTGGCTTCATCGTTTGGAGACAAAAGTGTACTATGTTTCTCTAAAGTTGAGTTTGAAGGCATCTTTTAGTGCCTCATGACATGGGATTTTTTTTTTTTCATACGTCTTTTAGACTTGGTTCGTTAGGTTCACTGGTTCACCATTGTCTATGATCCTCCACGGCATTGGTGACCGAATCTTATTTATTATTATGGTTTATCTCTACACTTCATCAATCTATTCTTGCACCTTGAAATTACTCTGATAAATACACAAAACTAGTTATCGTGGCGAGTGCGTATTGTTTTAGAATACAAAATTATTCATATTGTATGCGAGTGTACATACAAAGAACATGTATATTCAAGATATATGATATAATTAAATCTTACAATCTTTAGTTTGTTGATATCCGATCCAGTTTCTATTGGCTTAGATCCCCGCTATTTTGCTTTATACAGGTCTTCTTTATTTGTAACGAATGCATCTTAGAACCCTAATTCTCATAAGACGATATATTTGACATGTTAGAACATTTTATATAACGAGGTCTGCTAATAAAAGTTATTAATTATGCTTAGTTTTTTTTTTCCTTTTGCAATGGAATACTTCTTCTGTTTTTTTTTGTTTTTTTATTATATGATGTTTTAGAGTTTATTTTTTGTTCCAAAATATATGATGTTTTCAAATTTCTATGTAAAAATTAATTGTGTTTATATTGTTTTGACTATTTGAATTCTGAATCCTATTTTTCTATTGGTTTAACTATTTTATAATTGATAAAAAACATGTTTTATTTTGAAAAAATAAAAAATTAAATGTTTTCTTAATTTGTGTGTAGAAAACAAAAAAAAGACAACGATAAAAGCATTAAAACCCGATTTGATTATTACATAATTTTCCGATTGGGATTGAATAGGTTTGTCGGTTTAAAAACTCTCATATATATATACAAACATACGTTAGATTGTTGGCCAAATATTAGCACATGGTGAGCAGCAAAACACAACAAAAGAAGGGATAATTCGGTTAGCCACATGGACTGCACATACGGCTATAAAGGCTAAGTTGGTGCATTAATAAATTAAACTTCACCAACTTTTATCATCACAAGTTCTCTCATTAGAAAGATCTTATGTTTATATCTACTACTACTTTAAAGAGGCAAAATCATTTAGATAAATATTCAAGAACCCGACATATACATGCATTTATTCAAGAAAATTCCGATACTGGATACCATTGGCACATGGAACGATCTTTATGCATATCTTTTCGTGACCATTTTCTGATTTTTCTGGATTTGATTATTTGTAAATTCTGTATGATTGACGGATCGGGATATAAAATGTTATAATGTTTTGGAGAAAATAGTATTAAAAATCAATATATGTGTTGTGTCCAACATAAATAATTGAGACGAATCCTATGGTGGTGAGGAACTCACCGGAAAAACTACCAACGGCCTATACCTACCAAGCAATAGTCACAATCATCATATTGATTGGTTGCATCTTCTTTTTATATTTCTTTCAAAGAAATTGCAGTTCCATATATACTTCGCATATGTTTATGAAGATTCGTCCAAAACAAATATCTCCGTAGAATAGCAAGATGAACATAATATTCGTTTTAAAAGATCATATTATTCCATATAGATTACATGTAATTAAGTTTCGATCATATTCAATTCCTTATGATTATTCTATTGCATTTGCAAATTCACATTCGTAAATTGTTGTCCATATTCTTTAACAAAAATAAATCGTAGTCCATATCATAAATCCATTTTCCAGCTGTAACCTTTGTTTTAAATGGAAGAAACATATGGTTAGCTCATTTGCCATCACTGACACCAAAAGAAATGATGCAAGTTTTCACTAGCTCAACATAAAGTTAGAAAAAAAAAAAAAAACATTCATCTACTAAATTACAAAATAAATAAATAATGGGGTCACAGTATAACTTTCTTCACCTTTTTTTACTCTTTATCTTTCTTTTTTTTGAACTATAATATATATCATAAATCCTAATTTATTATTTTCGGTGTTCAGAAAATGTTCTCGTTCTATCTTTCTTGGCTACCCATCAGAGAGGTCCTCGATTGATTTTATAACTATAATCTAGGACCAAATATGACCAAGTTAGATAATCTAAGCTGGACTTGCTTGACATTTTGGTGTGAGACTCTCTAGTAGAGACACTAAAATTTACCTTTGTATCACTATATGTAAGAAGACCCATTTATTATATGGGCCAATAATATTGTTCAGGCCTAATAGTAAGCCCGTTATCTCGAATTAACCGCTTTACTACCAAAAACTCGACTGTTCTTTGGCAGGCTCATTTTGTTTCTTTCTTTGGAGTAGTATAATTCTTTATTAACTTCATAAGATGATAATTAAGATAGAATAGATCTGTCATTAGGATTTAGGACATCTACAGATTCTACACGAAAGATTTGCGGCAGTTACTTAAATACATTGATGATAGTATGATACACACATTAAACAGGCGTATTATAATTTTGCCAAATGTATTACGTTTTCTCGATTACCTTTTTTCCAAAAAAACCAAAGAGGTGAGAACACACACAAAAAGGAAGAGCTGAAAGATTCGCGACGAAGCACAAACAACAGTATCTATCGCCGCCCTGTTCTGTAAGGAGATTGAAATATCTGATCTTTGCTTTCTTCAGATTTTCTTAGCTTCGATCACTTATTCTATCAAGTCTCTTCGCCGATTTTCGCTTCTAGGGTTTGTTTCAGTGAATTCGTTTTTTGGATTTTCTTTCAATCAAATTCTATCATAGAATCTCGAATTCCTCTCGAATTTGATGAGTTTAGTGTTAGTGATAACGCTGATCATCCAGGTTCTTCGTGTTCTATTTTCTTCATTTTCAGGTTGAACAAACAGTAGAGGAACCAAAGTTGAAAACTTTGGACTTCCCACTTTTAATTACTGACAATTCGAATCTGGAATAGAAGCAAAACAGAGTGCTTAATCGTTAACTTTTCTGGAAAATTGAGTGTTAAAAGAGGAAGAAGAAGAAGAAGAAGATGCAGAGGGTTAGGGTTTCATCCCAGAGAGCAGCTGTACACAAGCTTGGTGATTCCCAGATGACATTATCTCCCAAATTCAGAGTAGCCGCATCGATTCAATCTCCGCTGTTTGATAGATCATCGGAATTAGAACTGTCTCTTAGAGGAGAACCTTTGATCCCCGGTTTACCAGACGACGTTGCCCTTAGCTGCCTTTTACGGGTTCCAGTGCAAAGCCATGTATCGAGCAGATCCGTGTGCAAGAGATGGCATCTCTTGTTCGGTACCAAAGAGACGTTTTTCGCGAGGCGTAAGGAGCTCGGTTTCAAAGAACCGTGGCTGTTCGTGGTCGGGTTCAGTAGATGCACAGGGAAGATCCAATGGCAGGTTTTGGATTTGAGGAATCTCACTTGGCACGAAATCCCGGCGATGCCCTGTAGAGACAGAGTCTGTCCTCACGGATTCAGATCGGTCTCGATGCCTCGTGAAGGCACAATGTTCGTATGCGGAGGCATGGTTTCTGATTCTGATTGTCCTCTTGACTTGGTGTTGAAGTACGATATGGTGAGGAATCACTGGACTGTCGCGAGCAAAATGCTAACGGCGAGGTCGTTTTTCGGCAGCGGTGTGATCGACGGGATGATCTACGCGGCTGGAGGGAACTCGGCGGATTTATTCGAGCTCGATTCCACGGAGGTTTTAAGCCCTTCCGACGGGAAATGGCGTCCGGTTTCGAGGATGGTGACGCGAATGGCGGCTTACGACACCGCGGTTTTGAACGGGAAGCTTCTGGTGACGGAAGGATGGTTATGGCCGTTCTTCGTGTCACCGCGAGGTCAAGTTTACGACCCGAGGAATGATCAATGGGAGACGATGGCGATGGGGCTAAGAGAAGGATGGACCGGTACGAGCGTTGTGATTTATGATCGGTTGTTTATAGTTTCGGAGCTAGAGAGGATGAAGATGAAGGTTTATGATTCGGTTTCGGATTCTTGGGAGACGGTTAACGGACCGGAGTTGCCTGAGAAGATTTGTAAACCGTTTGCGGTTAACTGTTGCGGGAACAGAGTATATGTGGTTGGTCGGAATCTTCATCTCGCGGTTGGGAATATTTTGAGGTCGGAGAATAATAAGTTTGGCGTGAGGTGGGAGGTGGTTGAGTCGCCGGAGCGTTATGCGGATTTGACTCCGTCCAATTCTCAGGTTCTCTTTGCTTAAAGAAGATTTGATCAATCCTGTTTTGTTTGGAAACCATGTTGTATCCCATAAGTAAAACTGTATCATATTTTCTTGTGTGTATAATTTGTGTCCGAAAGTGTTAAATAAGATACTACTTCCGTTACAAAATAGATATTTCAAATTCATTTTTTAGTTGCTTTGTTTTAAGATGTTAATGTAAAATTTGATATGCAAATACAGTCTCATTTGTCGCTACTTAACGTCAATAAAAAAACAATGTAAAATAGAAAAGTTCAAAATACCATTATGTTTTAATTTATTTATTCATTAATAAAATACTAGGTATTTACCTGCGTTATACTGTAGATATTTTTTTAAATTTTGTACATATTTTTAATATAATAAAATTATTTTTATAATATAGATGAGTATTATATTTATTTTTTATTAGCTTAAGTTATGTATTTATATGTTTTAAATATGAATAAATATTGTAAATTCTTATTTTTTTTATTTTTCAAAACTATAATTTACTATCAAATTTGTTTAGTTAACTAACTATAAATAAAAAAACAAGCGACGGTTTTTGGGTCCTAGCCACCTAGAGAGAAGTTTTTTTAGGGTTTCTGGCCGATGGTTGGATGCTTCTTTAGCTCCGCCATCGGTCAGATGATTTATTTTGTTAGTTCTCCATATTATTTTTTTTTGTTTTGGTTGATTTTTTTTTTTCTTTTTGGATATGAAAGAGTTTTTTTTTATTGATTCTTGGTTTCTCCTCCTTTTTCATCGGTGTTTTCCTTGGCTTTTGTCGGTTCTATTTGCCGCCTTCCACAACGTATGTGTTTGGCTTGGTGTTGAGTTTGGACGACTCAGGTTAGTCTCCTCCACTAGAAATTACAACCAGATCTGGTTGAGATCTGTATTTGTTTTTGTCTCCGCAGTACCGGATCTATGTCGTTTTCTGTCGACAATATCGGTTACGACATCTTTAGACGGTTTTAAACTACTTCAATAGAAGCTCCGTCATATCAATTCAAGAAGCATATTTCATAATTGCCGAAGTCTACTCATTACCAAGTGAGGACAAAAAGATTTGAAAATCTGTTCTAAATATTTTTTCAAATTCTTTGGAAATCTTTGTTGATTGGGTTTGTAAGAAATCTTATAATCATGATAGCTTTTTAGCTGATCTCTCATTGTAATCACCTATTGGTGACTTATATTATATTCAATAAAAGTTATAATAATCAGTGTTAAAAAAAACTAACTATAAATATATATGTAAGAATAAAACAATACATTTTTAAGTACCTTCATGTTAATGGCAAATATAATTTATTTTCTCCAATAAATTATCATTTGATCCTCCTTTATAATTATATAAACCAAAATTTCATTTAAAAAAATAATTAATATGATTATTTTGAATTATAAAGTTTATTTATTTATCAAATATTCATTATAAACATATGTTTCTAAAACTACCAAACTATAATCAATAACATTCATATCAAAATCATTGCTATTGCTTTAACTAAATAAAAAATTATGTTTGAACTGTTAGCATATCAATTTAGTTGAAGTTAAATAATTAAATTTTGGTTACTGAAAATATATTTTAACTTGAAATTTTAGCATATAAAATTTTTATATTCTTGAAAAAACCGGGAAATCGCATTTTCCATCAAAAAAAAAAAATCATCTTCCCACGCAACTGAAAAATCGTCTATTGCCGCCAAAACAAAAGCAAAAAAATCATTTTCTCGTTAAACCTCAAATTTTATTTTCCCACCAAAACAGAGAAATTACATTTTTTTCTCAAAAGCCATAAAATCATATTTTTACGCAAGAACGTGTGTTTTCCAACAAAAATCGAAAAACCATGTTTGTTCACCAAAACCAAAAAAATTTCATCTTCCTGCAAAAACCAAAAAATCTTATCTTTTCGTCAAAACCGAAAATTTCATTTTCCCGCGAAAATTGAGAAATCGTCTATTCTCGCCAAAAAAAAAAACATTTTTCTCATCAAATCAAGAATCACGCTTTGCTACCAAAACCGATTAGTTACAATTTCTTCCAAAAACCAAAAATTGCAGTATCTCACGAAAAATTGTGTTTCCCGCGAAAACTATGAAATCGCATTTTCCCGCGAAAACTAAAAAAATCACATAATATGTCAAAAACTGAAAATTTGCATTTCCCATAAAAACCTAGAAATTGCTTATTTCAGCGAAAACCGAGAAATTATGTTTTCCCACAAAATGATAAATTGTGTTTTCTGCCAAAATTGACAAATTGCAATTTCCCACGAAAACTAAAAAATCACATTTTCCCGCAAAAATCAAGAAATCGCATTATCCGTCAAAAGTCGAAAATTTGCATTTCCTATCAAAACCGAGAAATCGTATTTTTCGTCAAAATTGAAAAGTTTCATTTCCCATCAAAACCGAAAAATCGCATTTTCTCGTCAAAACAAAAATATCTTGTTTTTGCATTAATTTTTTCTTTCTTACCAAAACCAAAAATTTACATTTTTCTGCCAAATCAGAGAATTTGTTTTTTCCGCCATAACTGAGAAATTATGTTTTCCTATCTAAACTGAAAATCACATTTTTCTACCGAAACCAAAAAATACCATATTCCCGCCAAAGCCAAATAAATTTGTTATCGGTAACTACCGGAAATGCGAATCTCCAAGCTATGGTGGTGTGAGTTTCTCCTCATTTGCTTTTGACTTCCATTTTTTTGTAAACTTTGGGCTTTCTAATGGGTCAGCAAAATAGTAAACTGATTTTATTATTGTGTTGATGATATGCATTATTGTCATGTTTTTACTGGTTCAAATTTTTGCTGATGTGTGAGCTTCTTATAATATAAGATTTTTTGCGTTGTTGTTGTGAAAGCATAGTTGATGCTGAGCCTACACTTTTTCTTCAATCATATACGTCTTTGTCAAACAAATAGATAACTACAATTTTTTTTTATTTGCTGTTAATTTTTATTTGGATTTGAGTTTGGCAAAAAATAAAATTGATATTTTTTTTTTGTTGTTATTTATTATTTTAGCTTGGGTTTGGTAAATAATAAAACAAAGATTTTTTTTTGCTGTTATTTATTATTTGAGCTTAGATTTGCTAAAAAGTAAAACAAAGATTAACAAAAAATATATTTGAATTTTTAATGGGTTTAAGTTTAAATATTAAAATAAGTAGATGAGTTGTATTATTAAAATGTTTTGATTGGTGATTTTTTTTGCTGAGATGTCATCTTCAAAAAGCTCTAAAATGCTGAGGTGTCATGACCAGGAGAGACTTATGTGTTATTATTGTATAAAAAGTAAAACAAAGATTAACAAAAAATATATTTTGATTTTTAATAGGTTTAAGTTTTAAAATAAAAATAAGTAGATGAATTGTATTATTAAAATATTTTGATTAGTGAATTTTTTTGTTTAGGTGTCATCTTCAGAAAGCTCTAAAATACTGAGGTGTCATGATCAGAAGAGACTTATGTGTTATTGTTGTATTGATTTTATGTAGAGACTAATTGAACAATTAAGTTATTTATCGATCGCATGAAAGATCCAAGACGACACTGGATCTCCTGCTAATTGCTCATCATGTTTAACTAGTTAAAGGTGTGAAATCAGAAAATATAATTAATGACATGAAAAAAGTGAAATGCGATTAGTACAATAAGAATTTGGCCAATAACTTAACAATAAGAATTTACTTTTTTTGATCAAAAGAATTTGTTTATTTTTGTTTAATTTGCAAAGGCTGTTGCGTGTGTGATCTATGTAGCTATGTTTCATTAGCTCTGTAATAAAAATAGTTTTTGAATGATTCAGCAGAATCTAAGTTCAATGGTGATACAATGACAAAACTCACACAAACCACTCACCTACATTCCATAGTCAGAGAAATTCAAAATTAACATTTAAACAAACAAACTTTCTCATCCTAACAAAATTGATGCTAGCTCGCTAATCTCATTTCGGTCTACTCATATATATAACATTGGTTATTTTGTGCATAACGGCTATATTACTAACTTGTGATTGAGAAGTTGTGATTTTGATCGATGTCAAAGCTACGGTTCCTTTTATTCGATGATGAGATATATCTTGAGATAGTACAATGTTACATTTAAAATTATATTTATTAGTCAATTTGAAGTAGTTAGTTATGTTCTAGAAGTTATGGCCCTATTCATCATTGGCTTTCTAGGAAAACAAGAGACGATTTATCGAATACTATTGTGCTCCTCCTCTTCCAAATTTGCATCTACTCACCATGACCATTCTAGTTCGACAATTACTTCCATTCATTATAAGTGTATTAATATACACATAATAAAGTCATGAGTACGTAGATAATTACTCTAGGTAAATAATTTTGATTTCTTAATTATAATATATATATATACATGTGTGATCAAGTTGGACCAGTAGTGTTTTCGAAATGGATAACAGCCTAAAAGAAACTTAAAATAATTAAAAAGCGTCGACTGTGGAAGAAACTTTTTTTTCCCTCATATGAAATCTAATCTTATCGAGCTTCTAATCAAACCAATAAGCATTCTTGCTTTTCATTCCTCTCATTAGCTTATCTTATCATTTCATAGCCTCGATACAAAGTAGAAAATACGCATTAACATGTGCTTCTATATATTTTATACTTTAGAAAGTATGCTAAACAAAATTGAATTATCTATGAATTTATAAAAACAATTCGCTATTTATAAAAATCTTAACTCTGAAATTTACTGCTAAGAAATCAAAATTCCATTAAGCCGTTGTCGGTGTGATACTAGCCTGGTAATTTATTTATAAAAAATTGTTTTGCTTATATATAAAAGCTTTCAAACAAAAAAAGAAAGCTAGGATTATTGATTGGATCCGTCAAATGTTTAACTTTAAATGATCTTCAAAATATAACATTGAATGTACAAATATATATATCCATATAATGTTGGTTGATATTACAACCAGGCACTAGCCGACATGACCTGTGTAGTACAAATCTACTGGAGCGAAT